GGCCCTTCGTTTCAGGCTAAAAAGGCTGTTGCCATTTTTAGTCTGAAACGACACAGGGACTGTAGGCCCCTGTTTTCAGGCTTTCGGGCTGAACAGTCACGGGGCCTGTAGGCCCTGGTTTTCAGGTTGTAAGCCTGAATTTCAGGGTTTCAGCCTGAGGGACGCAAGGCCTGGAAAATGGCCCTCGTGTGCAGGTGCAGCATGTAACACCCCCCCCTCCTTATGAAGTCAAGCCGGGGCGAGGGCGAAGCCGACGATCTGAAGGTGGAACCTGGACGCGGGCGCGGCGTGGAGCCGAAGAAACCGCCTTGCCTTGCATCTTGCGTTCGTAGCATGCGAGAACGTCTGGAGCTGTCGCTTGAAGTTCCGCGCAGGGCAACCAACGGTCAGCTCGGTGTGTGCAGTAGGCAAAATGCACTAAATACTCGGTTGGCCTGTTGCCGTAGCATCGCTGGGAGATGATGTCGCCGACCTCCTGAAAACCATCCATGGAGGGTGGGTCTTGCGAACGTCTTCCGGTAAAATCGTCATGTTCCGCTGGCGTGTAAAAAGCTAACTTGGAGCAATGAAAGACTGGGTAGACGGGCGAGTGGCCGGGCACCTGAATCGTGAAGGAAGGTCCCTCGGGTGCGTCCCCAGCGGGTGCTACGATCGGCCAAGGCCCCATCCATTTCAGGAGGAGCTTGCGAGAGATGTCTTGTTCAAGGCTGAATTCCGCTGTGGAAACCCAAACGAGGTCCCCTGCGCTGAATGGGCAAGGAAGACGTTGGCGATTGGCCTGTTGGCTCATGCGTTGCTGCATCTTAGCCATTTGATCGCGTGCCTTGACAAGAAGCTCTTGCATCCGACGCAAGAAAAGAAGGTGGTCGTCGCTCTCGGTCGTTCGTGGAGTAATAGTGTCCAACGTTGAAGTGACCGGCGAGCCGTGCTCAAACTGAAAGGGCGACATCCCGATAGCCGGGTGGATAGAGGAGTTGTAGGCCAACTCGACATCCGGAAGCCGCTCAACCCAGTCCTTCTGGTCGGGGCAGATGAGAGTGCGAAGGAGAACCTGTGCGGTCTGATGCGCCCTCTCCGTTTGGCCATCGGTCTGAGGGTGGCGAGCTGAACTGGGCTTGAGGGATGAGCCCCAACGCTTGATGAGCGCCAAGTTGAACCAAAAATCGGACATGAACCGAGTGCCGCGGTCGCAGATGATTTCCTTGGGGTAACCCTTGGTTCGAATCCAACCGGCGTAGAGAACCTCGGCCAACTTCGGTGACTTGGCATGATAGCGACAAGGCAAAAACATGGCGAACTTGGTGAGTCGGTCGACCACCGTGAAAATCCCATCCACTCCGGTCTTGTGCTTGGGGAACGGGCCGGTAATGTCAATGGCAATCGCTTCCCTTCGCCTCAATGGGACCGGTAATGGTCGTAACTCGCCGTACGGACGATGGTTGCGGGATTTGCAGCGTCAGCAAACCTCGCATGACTCGCAATAGCACGTGACGTCGCCGAGAAGGCCGGGCCACCAAAATCACTGACAAAGTCGGCCAATCGTGCGATTGACTCCAAAGTGTCCGGTGGCGGGAGCATCATGGAACTCACCAAGAAGCCGTGTACGCAAGTGAGGATCACTTGGTACACAAAGAAGGTCCTTCCCTCGCGTGTGGACAAGTAAGTACCCCTCTTGGATCCGGTAGTGCGAAGGCGCCGGATTAGGAGAGGAACGATTCCCGTACTTGTCGCGAAACTCGGGATCGGCTTGGTAGTCGTAGATGAAGTTGTTCCGCAGGTCATCGTCGATCTCGAAGGTTGAGTAGACCGCGGTACAATGATCCGGACGCCGTGAAAGAGCATCCGCAAAACGGTTCGACTTCCCAGGAATGTGATCGGGGAAAGAAGTCGAACTGGTCGATGAAAGCCATCTATCGAGCGATGGTGCTGTTGACGGTGTCTTGGGTCTTATAGAAGACCAACGGATTGTTGTCCGTTACTTATCGGAATTGGCTTCGACCAAGGAGGAAGTGTCGCCACCGCTTGAGCGTGTGGACGAAGGCGAGGAGTTCCTTCTTGCGTGCATCGTCAATGGAATGCACGACGGACACTTTCTTGCTGAAATACTCGACTGGGTGCCAGTCCACACCATCATGTTGCTCAAGGACTGCACCAATGCCATAGCCTGACGCATCCGTAGTGACGCGCGTAGGCAAAAGCGGGTCGTATATCTGCAAGACCTCCGCTGATAATAGCGCGGCTTTTAGAGCCAAAAATGAATCCCGCGCCTCCTCTCCGAAGTCAAACGACCGATCCTCGCATTGAAACTTGGTCAAGTGGGCCGCGATCTTCGAGTAGCCTTTAATGAAACGCTGAGAGTAGCTGGCAAGACCAAGAAACGAGCGAACATCTGTGACGTTCCGAGGCTCCGGCCACTATTGGATGACTTGAATCTTGTCCGATAGCGGACTGATGCCCTCCGGTGTGACAAAATGGCCCAAGTATTCCAGCTCTTGCCGGACAAATTCGCACTTGTCGTGGTTGGCCTTGTACTTGGCGCGGCGGAGCGTCTCCAACACTCGTCGAAGATGCCCAAGATGATCCTCCAATGACCGGCTATAGACGAGAATATCGTCTAAGTAGACCAGCACGAACCGGTCCAACATTGCACGAAACTCATTGGTCATTGCCGCTTGAAAGGTCGTCGGGGCGTTGGTGAGGCCAAAAGGCATGACCACCCACTCAAAATGCCCGTACCGCGTCTTGAACGCGGACTTGTAGCGATCGTTCGGCCGGATCGAGATTTGATGATATCCCGATTTCAAATCCAACTTAGAAAAATACTTCGCGCAGCCCAGTTGCTCAAGAAGATCGTCGATGCGAGGAAGAGGCCCCACATTTTTGACGGTTTGTGCGTTGAGCTTGTGGTAGTCGATATACAGTCGCAGATCCGTATTCTTCTTTTGGACGAAGAGAACAGGTGCTCCATATGGGGAGCTACTAGGGCGGATCCAGCCCTTGGCTAACAAATCGTCGAGTTGTGCACGGAGGACCTCAAGCTCCTCCTCACTCATGCGATAGATGCAACCTTTCGGCGGCACGACACCGACCTCAAGAATGATCTCGTGAGAGATCAACCGATCCGCCACCACACCGGTAGGTGACTCGAAATGTCGGCGAACTCGTCTAGCAACCGCACCACCCGGGGGTCCGAAGACAAGTCCGTGGGTGATGCGTCGGCTACCGCGACGGTCCGTACGAAACATAGGCCAATTTCCTCAGGCTGCTCGTACGCGCAAGTTGCCCGGAATGATTTGGCCGTTACCATTTGGCACCGAATCGAAGGGTGCGGTAGAGGAATAGTACACGCCACTTCCGCGCCGAAGGCGTCGCGAATGCTAAGAGTCCGCCGATGGAAGTTGACCGTGTGATCCGCACTTGCAAGCCAAGGCATTCCCAGAATGATGTCGAAGTCCGTGTCGAGAATATCGAATGTCACCGATTCGCATGCATGAGGTGCGAAATAGACCGGTACGGCCTCGATGTAACGGTCGATAAGTTGCTGCGTTTTCCCATCTGCCAACTTGATCGTCGTCGGGTTTGCCTTCCTCTGAACTTGTGTGTCAAGGCCAGCCCTTTGCATAAAGGATTGGCTCATGAAATTGCGAGACGCGCCGCTATCCAGCAAAGCGTTGCAGGATGCTTGCCCAACCAGGATGCAGACATACATGAGCGGTGCGTTGTTGTCATCGTACCGCTGCGTGCGAAACTCGCGGGCCACCTTGGTAGTATACGCAAGGATGTCCCCCACCACGACTTCGTCATCCGTCGACGAAGTTGGTGGTGCATAGAAGGATAAGTAAGTGTGGAGATGAGCGCATAGTGCTGCGCATTGCGGTCCCGACAAGCGGCCTGTGGTCGGGAGAGGAAGCCATGCAAAGTCCTCGGACATGAGCGGGTCCAATACCTCTATGTTGAACTCGCGTGCCGAATCCCGTGAAGAACCGCTTGAAGACGATTTGTCACCGTTGCCGGACGGAGAAGAAACCGCACACACTTCTTGTCCTTGAGCTTGAGTACCCAGCGTAGGAACGAGCGGGGCAGCATAGTCCTCAAAAGAAAGTAGAAGAGGAGGACTATCAACTTCCGCGTGCGCCTCAGATTGAAGGCCGGTTACTCGCAAAGAAACCGGTTCCGGAGGCGTTGAGAGTGTTGTCGAGTCACTCTCGGCGGTGCTCCGTTTCCCTCTTTGCCCTTGCCTTTCAATGGGCAGACCAGTGTCTGATGAAGATCGTTGTTGCACCAAAGGCAATAGTGGAATCTCTCGTGCGCTTTGAATGCTTGCTCGGAGATGCTATATTGGGACCATGGCGCTGCTGGAGCTGCTGCACCGGGCCCGGGGCTAGATGCGGTGTGTGTCTTCGTCTTGCCGCGTCCTCGGCCTCTGCTGGGGCGGCCACCTTCCCGGGCGGCTGTGAGTCTGTCCCCTTCGCTGGCAGACACAACCTCGCTGGTTTGGTCAAATGGCGTTGCCTCTGCGACCACGACCACTCTTGGCCGATGCTGGTCCCTGCTCGGGCCTGACGCAGACGAACGAAGGTTCTTAGCCTCCTTGTTCGTAATGATGATATACGCGGCCTTGTCAAAAAGTTTCGCCGTCTTCGTTAAGGTGTCCTCGACGTGAGTCAGGGCATTGCTTAGTGTCGGATAGGACCTTGAAATGAAGTAATGGTGGATGGCCTTGAAGCCCATCTGGATGTCGAGGACTGACGTCAAGCGTTGGTACTCGGCGATCCAGTTGGTACTTGGCAGCGTGCCTTGCTCGAAGACCATGAGCTTGTCCAAAGCCTTGATCTCCGGCGGCTCAACCTGGAACCGCTTGTGCCACGCCGCCTTCAGATCATCCCAACTGACCTTGGTGTGCAAGTCGGCAGTTACCACTCCGTACTTGGACAAGAGGTTGTCCAACCAAGCCTGGCACGCGCCCCCTGAGCGAGAGTACAAGTATGCGTGGTGCTTGTGTTCTTTGACGTTGTGTAGCTGCAGCGTGAGCTCGAACTTGCAGAACCATGGAATCGGATCTGTCTTTGTCAAGTCGCAGAAGATTTCCTGCCCGTCGAACTTTGGAGCCGTCTCGCGCAGTTCCGGACTCGAGGTGTTGGCTACAGTACATATCCGTTGTTCCAACTATTGCGTTGCGGTCTGCTGTGACTGCACGCCATCCTTGAGGGAGCCGACGTCCATCTCCAATGCGTCGAGGCGATCGGAGGTATTGGAAGAGCTTGCATCGGCGGCGGCGACTGGTCGCTGCTCCAGCTGCTGAAGGCGGTCTTGGACTTGAGCTAGCGAGTCGTCGAGGCTATGGATATCCTCCTGCTGTGTAATGCATGTAGCCAGGAGGTCTGTGAGATGCGAGAGGAGGAGAGCGATCTTGTTTTCGCAGTCCTCCAACTTGCTATTCTCGGCCTCGGTCCGCCATGTCGTTGCCATTGTGAGCAAGGTCTGCTCTCCACTAAATATCTTCTCACAACGTTCGTTCCTTTCTTCATCGGCAGCCCTTGCTGCTGCCTCGTCCTGCCGGCGTTGTTGTTCAAGTGCCAGCACACGTGCCTACTCGGCATCCTCTGCCTTCTTCTTCGCTGCTGCTGCTGCGTCATCTGCCCGTTTCTTTGTTTCGGTACTCCAAGCCAGCATCCGGGCCTAATAGACCTCGTCTGCTTCTCCGGACCTCTGGTCCATGACGACTGTATGTGACCGCAACAGCATATATCAGGCCGGGGGCCTGCTGACGTGGTATTTTCTGCTCTGTCGGCTGACGTGGCCTGCTGACGTAGTCTGCTGACCTGGCCTGCTGACGTGGCAACTCACCAATGCCACCGCAGGGGGTACCCGGACACAGGTAGAGAAGGAAGGGCGAGAGGTGCCAACAACATAGGTTGGGAGGGTGGGTGGGAAGAATCGCCCAGCTAAAGAGCCACTAATAAAAAAAAAAACGTTTGAACTTTGCAAAAAAAAAATTGAAATAATAAAGTCCCGAGTTTTGCAAGTTCAGTAGGTCTCCCATTCTCCCTTGAAGTGCGAAATGATCAAAGAGAAAAAAAAATTCGACTTCAGACTGCAAATTATTTATAGAACTGACTAACAAAATCCTAGAACTGCAAAAAAAATCCGAAAAGAAATGACAAATATTCGGATTTTCTCAGATGAGAATATTCACAGTTTTGGAAAATAATACCTGTAGGAGGGATTTCCCGTACCGTTTTCAAAAAAACGAAATTTGAAAAAAGAAGATATTCCGAATTTCTAAGTAATGGGAAATACAACAGGAAATCAAAATTTTCGAAAAGAAGAATATTCCGGATTTTTAACAACGAAATTTTGAATTTCAGAGGAAAAATGAAAATGGGAATTTCATATGTTGCGCTATTACGATTTCCCACAACAGAATAGCGAGAGAACAAAATCCAAGAAAAAAAAAATTCGATTTTCGGCAGTAAGGTCAAAATCATGATTTTGGGGCTATCTAGTGTGCTCTAATCAATCAATAAAGACTAATCATCTACTTGGTCCCCGCACACGTGTCAGTTCAGGTTGTCCTGATTCACGTGCGGTGCACTGATACCAACTGTTACATGCCCAGGTGGGCGATGTACATACCAACCGAGGATCCGCAATGTGATAAAAAGGACTGAATGGACAATGCAGTGCAAGTAGAATCTCAACAAGCAATGTGCATTCTCA